ATTTCTTTCTGTGGATCTATACTTAGATCTGGTGTTATCTCTCTTCTGCCTTAAAGATGGTTTTAACATTTCTAATAATGATGATCTGCTGCTGCTGAATTATTTTGGCTTTTATATGTCTGAAAAAGCCTTTATTTCACCTTTGTTTTTGAAAGACATTTTAACTTAGTACAGAATTCTAAGTAGACACTTTTTTTCTTTTAATACTTTAACATGTTATCTTCTCACTTAAGCTGTTACTGAAAGTAAATCTACTGTCATATATCTGTGTTCCTTTGTATGTAAACGTATCTTTTTTTTCCCCTCTAGATTCTTTGAAGATTTTCTCTTGAGATACTTATGATGTGCCCTGGTGTAATTTTCATGTTTCTTGTGCTTGGAGTATGTTAGACTTCTTATATCTGCAGATTTATGCTTAGCAACAAATTTGGAAAATTTTCAGCCATTATTTCTTCAAATATTTTTTCTATTTCCCTTCTCTCTCTTCTCCTTCAGAGACCCCAACTGCACATAATTAGGCCACTTGAAGTTTCCCACAACTCACTGATTCTCATTTTAAGAAAATTCTTATTTTTCTATGTTTTTAATTTTGTATTGTTTCCATGGCTATTTCTTCAAGTTCACTTATCTTTTCTTCTACTATGCCACTAATATGATCCAGGACACTTTTTGCCTCAGATATCATAGTTTTCATCCTTAAAAGTTTGATTTTGGCTCTATTTAACTGTTTGATCATATGAAGTACAGTTATTAACAGTTTTAATGTCTTTATTTGCTAATTCCAACATCTTTATCAGTTCTGAGTGAGTTTTGACTGGTTGATTTTTTTTCCTTATTATGGGCTGTATTTTCCTGTTCCAATACATACATGCCTGGCAATTTTTTGTTTGATGCCAGTCATTGTGCAATTTAAACTGCTGGCTTGGAAACTCTCTTAGGGCAGGAATTTGGAGCAGTCATAAGGCTTAACTTCCTTGTTTCCCATCTCGCAAGGATTGCGTTCATTCATTGCCTGATAACTAGTGTCTTGAAGACCATTGTTTATTATATCGTGTTTCTTGTTTGTTTGTTTTTGGCAGAAGTTAAATTTGGTCTCTATTATTCCATCTCAGCTAGAAATACAACTCCCCTGTGATTTTTTTTTAAATACAAAATCAAGGGCTCTTTGATTATGGAGAGCTGTTAGCACAACTCACTCCTTGCTTCCTAAAAGTCTCCTTTTGGTGCCAGTAAGCCAGCTTCCATGGTCCCCAAAATAGAGGAGGTGAGAGGATCAGTAATGATCACACCTAGTGCATTGTGGGTAACACATTTTAGGGGAGTATGGGCAATCAGAACACGTTCAGAAAAGTGACCAGGGTGTAAGAAGGCTTAAAACCATTTTTGTGGGAAGAACAGTTAAATGACACAAGAATGTCTGGCCCAGAGAGGAAC